GAGAGAGAGAGAGAGAGAGAGAGAGAGAGAGAGAGAGAGAGAGAGAGAGAGAGAGAGAGAGAGAGAGAGAGAGAGAGAGAGAGAGAGAGGTCAGTATTGCAGGTGTGTTCTCATTTAGTAGCCGTTGCCTATGGCAGGTGGCCACCCCTACAGACTGGTCAACACCGATTCAGGTGAGGGCTGTGGAAGCACAGGCGTTGCCTATGGCAGGTGGCCACCCCTACAGACTGGGCAACACCGATTCAGGTGAGGGCTGTGGAAGCATCGCATCCAATTCTCGCAGTTGCAGTTGCTCAACGAATGGCTGCCACAGGCAAGGAACACAGGCGCACGTGGAAATGATTTGTCTGGATGCCGGATGTGAGTGCAATATTGACTGTCATCATAGGTACGGAAACAAAAAGACGCACAAGCTGTGCCTTCATGATCCTTACGCCACAATGCGTGCAACCCCGATGCTAGCCGGATCTCAGGTGGATCATCACAAAGTGGCATTGAGAAGGCGTCTTGGGTTTCCTCAGGATTGATTCCTTCTCTATGGACCGGCGATGACAGGGTGGCGGGAGGGGGTCATCCAAAACAAAGGCATCTAGTTGCTGCAGGATTTGTTCTGCAACAATTCGTCCGGGTGTTATTAGTCCTTCAGTACACTGCTCTATATGCGGTTCATATGGCACTCCATTTTCCTCCTTAGGCTGCCGAGTCTGTTGTTCGTCCGGCAGGAAAGACGGAAATCCAAGGGCGTTTGCAGCAAGTGTATGCCCAACTCTGCGTGTGGGACATGCTAGGAGAGGATGTGGCGAGTCTGTTGTTCGTCGGGCAGGAAAGACGGAAATCCAAGGGCGTTTGCAGCAAGCGTACGCCCAACTACGCATGTGGGACATGCTAGGAGAGGATGTGGCGGGTGATGGCATCATGGATAGTCCATGCAGTAAAGACACATACTTTCTATGACAGCTTCCTGGAAACATTGACGACAGATGGCATGTTGCTGACATGTCAGCAGGAAGGCAGGCTGGCATTCGCTACTATTCAAGCATGGCAGGTTAAGGCCAGAACGGCATATCGGACAAACGATTAGGGCGCCGGGGGGGAGAGAGGAACACAAGACAAAGAGTCACAGTTTTCGCAACAGACGCTGGCAGTGACCATCCCTGCATAGTGTTCAGAGCAGCGACTGTGCACGGTGCATGCTAACCAAACTGTGGCTGCTTGACAACAGAATGGAAGGGCACATCCACCATCTTCTATGGAGGTCCTTTCATTGTCCGGGGTAGAATCTGTCCGATCTACACAGGGAGGGGACACCGCTTGGCTTTGTGCACAAAGGAAGGGTGTAATTGTGCGGCCCGATTGTTCTCCGGAGACTGAAGCTCTTGCGAATGCGAAGTAACATACTGTTTGTTCCTGACAGACAATCCAAATTGAGTGCGTATGTGCAGCTGGATTGTTCTCCAGAGACTGAAGCTCTTGGTTATGGGAGATAATACTACTTACCGTGCGCATCCTCTACCGCCATTGTCCCATAGGGCCCATGAATTATCTTCAAAGGTCACAACGCTGAATCTATCTTCATAGGGCAATGCAGGATGTACGCACAAATATTTGGGTCCATGCCTGGCGTGTGGTTCTGGGGAGCCGGCCGCAGTTGTAGTCGTCTCCCCATACTGTCATCCTCTGGGCAGACATTATGGTGCTCTTCTTCTATCCAATGTACAAAAAGAGAAAAATCAGAAACTGTGTAGGAGTTGCAAATGTATGCGAGAAGACTCGTTTCGATGGCATATATAGTGCGCACGGTGGCCTTGTTGTAGCACTATGAGATCATTTGAATCTCTGGGTTGTGCAGCATCATCATTGCACAGGTGGAGCTTCATTGTGGTCTTGATTTTCTTCTGTCAGGTTCCTCTGGTTGTATCAACTGGATTGGTTCTAGCGTACGCTCCGGAGAGAAGTCGTCCTCGGTCAGGGGCTCCATCAAATGATCAGAAGGGAGATCATTGTTCATTGGGGTTGGGGAGCATGCTAGGATAGGCGGGGGAGAAATGGGTGGGTGAGATATGAGCAGGTCAGATGCAGGTAACGAAAGCTGATCAGCCGCACTTGTACTTAAAGTGGCTGCCAGTTGCGCAGAAGCCGCACAGGCGGCCACACCCCGTGTCTGATGCACACGCAGGTCCACAGTGCTGAAGAAATCGTCGCCACATTGTTGGCATCGGACTCGATATGTACTATTCCAGGCTAGCGTGTATTGAGCACGTCGTCGTCATTCTGTACGGTTGCAGGCACGGCGTCCGAGCAGATCTCGAACCCCTGCAGGGGGCACGGTGATCACGCCTTGGACAAATAAGGCCGCTGTCTTGGAGGCGGTGGTGGAGATGGGGAGCATCTCCCCCGAAGAGGTGTCTGCGATGGCCGATTTAACGTTGATGCCTTCGACGAAAGGGTGCCAGTGACAGCTGATCTGACCAGGAATGTGTTGATCTTACCAGGAATAGGTTCGAGATCTGTTCCAACACCATGCCCGCAACCGTACACAACGATGACGTCGTGCTCAATACATACTAAGCCCGTAGTAGTACATATCGAGTCCAACGCCAACAATGTGGCAACGACTTCTTGAGCACTGCGGGCCTCCGTGTGCATCAGACACGGGGTACGGCCGCCTGTGCAGCTTTTGCACGACTGGCAGCCACCTTAGGTACAAGTGCGGCTTTTGCACGACTGGCAGCCCCAAATGAAAATTTTGGGGTTGTACCATTGTAGATCCCAAAATCTACAACTCTTTTTTTTTTTTTTTTGCATAAATTCTCCCTAAAAAACAAAATCTGTGAAAAAAAAAAACCCCATTGCGCCCCCTCATTTCATCATTTTTTTTTTTTTTTTTTTTGAGATCTCAAAAAGATCTGCAACCCTATACTTTTTTTTGTTTTTTTTGGATCATCTTTGGCCTGCGAAAAAAATCTTCCTGGGTCGCGATAAACTGGCCGTTCAACGCCGCCGTTTTACCGCATTTTCAACGCACGTTGAAAGATTCAACGCGTGACCTCTAAGCCTTTTTACGGCGTTGAAAATGCCGTTGAATCTTTCAACGCGTTGAATTTTTCAACCCTATATTTTTACGGCGTTGAATCCATTTTTTTCCAGACACTCAGCTGTGCAGAGCATCCTCTAAACCTTGAGGCCATCCACGGGTGCCAAACACCACATCTATTTACAGTTTTCTGGAGAGGGTAATTCAAGCCCCTGCCTCACCCTGTTTATGCTCCTTCCGCCGTTGGTTTACGGTTAAACAACTCATACAGGGTGAGTCACCTGCAGCCTCGCAAGACGCACACATCAATCACGTTATTGTTTTATGGCATTTTCACTATAAGAAAAGCCCAATTCCAGAGAGAATTGTTCATGGAACCACTAAAGAAATCGCTTGGACTATTTTTCCTAGTTGGGTAAATCACAAGCATTCCTCCCAACGAGAAATAGGATGCAATCGATGGCCCACAGATGTACGTAATCAATCACATGCTTGCATGGCTTCACAGCACTTTCTGGAAATGACGACCACACATGCAAATGTATAGCTGTCACCAGGTGATGAAGGAGGGATACAGTCTATTAGCCAGTTAACTTTTTTTTTTTTTTTTTTTTTTTTAATTTGGACCATTTCTCGATTTATGCGTGTCATCCTTGTGCGGGGCCCATTTTCTAATTACCCTTCTCTGTATCGTTCCAATTTTAACGGATGTCCTGAAGGACAGTTAACTTCTTTTCTAAACTCCACCATTGGCAGGATGTGCTGTCCGAAAAACTCCCCTCCCACCAGCTCACCCCAACACTCCTCCCATAATTTCATTATCGATCCAGATACCCTCTCGTCAAAAAAAAAATAAAAAAAATGGTAAGTGCAGCATATTGACACAGGCACAGATATTAACCTGACCTCGCAGCCGGTCTGGTCACATGATATTTGTTTTTCTTTTTCTTTTTCCTTTTCTACCAACAGTCTTGGTTTCATGCCAATGAAAGCAACATTAAGGCGACATTCATCCTACATAGCAAAACCGAAAAGGAGAAACAGGAATGCTCGTTCCACAAGCCATATGCCGCCTCCCATATCTCCCCGTCTTTATCATCCATCCCTCGATCCCCACCGCGGGGGAGCCTAATCACACCTATAAAAAGAAAACGATACATAAACAGCAGCATTTGAGGTCCGTCTTTTTTGAATCACGCTGCTGCTGTCGAGTTGTGTTAGGACGGCAGCTGTATCACATAATCCCCTCATCTCTCCCAGCCCCCGCCATCCCCGCAGTTGTTCGAAAAAAAAACAAAACCCAAGACTTTCAATAACCCAACCACATCCGTGCTGAAATAGCGCGAGTGCATTTATTGGTATTGGCTCAGAAATGCTGATAGCCAGGGCCAAGGGACCTCACAATTACACTTCTCATGTCATCAACCGCTTCCACAGCGTCCAATTGCAGGTCTTACCTCAGCAAGAGAGAGCAACAAAAAGGTAGAACCAAGCTCCGCCCTGACTCCCCCTGAGAAATGTTTTCGACAATCGAACAGATGTTTTGGACAATCAAAATGTTTGGCCAACCCCTTTCCAAAGACAAACCAACCTGCTTTCAAAACAATTCAGGAGAGCAGGAGTTGTCATCCTCCTCCTTTCAGACGACGATCAACAGCTTTCCGCTGTCCAGCCGTAAATCTACCAGTAGTACAGTAGAGTTTGAGCAAAGCCAACCCCCCCCCAAAATGGGTTAAAAACTTCAAGAGTTCATAATCCAGTTAAAAACAGCAGCTGAGCAATTGCACTCACTACCCACAAGTTTCAGGGCTTCTCTCAAAATTCCAGGTCTATTGCAACTACCTCTTGTACCTGCCTGGAGTCACAAGTCCAGCAGACAAAAACACGGCACGAAACAGGCAAGCAAACAATCCCACTAACTCCCTGATGCAAGCCAGTGCCAACCAAAGCCTCTGCCAGTTTGCCTGTTTACCTGTGAAACTCTCCAGAAGCCGTGGAGACGGTTGGAGACAGGGTGGGGGCAGGAGAGGTCGACCTTCCTGCCACTCTCATGCTATGAAAAGACATTGACGAAAGCCACACCCAACGCTCGCAGTTGGTCAGACGCACCACTCTCCGATGCCTCTTTCGGGGCATATTGTCCTCCAGATTTGTTTTTTCTTTCTGAAACACAGACAAAGAATTTTATATAATCTGTGCATGTCCAACAGTGCTGCTCTGCTGGCACACATCATTCCTCTGCTCTCCCCTCTACCTCAGCAGAGGTAAAGAATAAAATCAATTTCGATGACATTTCTATATATATTTCGACAGAGTGATGGATGAATCAACAGCTCTCCAGTGTGTCTGACAAGCAAAAGCTGCCAGCCTGACAGGCAGTCAGGGAAAAAAAAAAGGAGGAATTCTCTCCACATTAGGCCCAGGCCCAGCTCCAGAGATTCTGCATTGCCACCACGATCTCTCCTTAAGAGTCTCCTACACCGCACCGCCCCACCCTCTCCTGACCCCTTCCCCCCCCCGCCCCCCAACCGGTACCCCGCACTCTGCTCGCTCTTCTCGCTTCAGCCTCATCCCGCCTTCCCCTCACCTTCAGAAGATCCTGCACCTGTCAGTCAAACCACAGCCTGCTGGATCTCACCTGACCTGAACCTGAATTGAAGTGCCTAATGAGACCAGCCGCTGTACACGTAGGAGCGGAAAATCCAGCCCTACCGGTAGTGTGGTCCCTACTGTGGGGGAAAAGAAGGCCCCTACCACATCGCGGTGGTTTACAATCGTTAATTCCGCTTCACTGCCAAGATTGCCCTCACCTCACTTTCCCTTCCACTGATCCACCTCCACACCAATACCCTATCTCTCCTCAGCTCTGAGATGTGCCCAGCACATTCAGCAGGTCCTCCTGCGACCAACTGCTTCTCTGCAGTAGTGCTGCGACCAACTGCTTCTCTGCAGTGCCGCTGCGGCCAATTATGAGTCTGTGGCCCAAATTCCTCTAGTACTGGAGGAGCTAATTGACAATTTTTTTTCCTATCCACCGATTCTGTCACGCACAAGAGCTGGGAAGGGACCATTCGTTCTCCACAAAGTGAACCCAAAGGCAGAAAAAAAAAAGAGGCGAGGAAAGCAATGACATTCCCAGAATCAGGATGGCATATTGACAAATTGCCAACTTATGAACAAAGTCGATGAAAACGATCTTAAGCACATGTAAAAAACAGCAAAGGCAACAACTGCTAAAAACAATGGGCTAAACAAACCAAGGATTCAGCATAAAACTGACAACAGATGAAAAAGTGCCGAACAGAAGGACAGTCGCTGCCTAAGAAGTCGGTTCACTCAAGAGATGACATACAGAAAGTACTCATGTTTGACGAGAACTTTCAAAAATGCAAGACAAATCGGGCGTTCCCCATCCTCTACAGCTCTCTCTCTCTCTCTCTGTGTGTGTGTGTGTGTGTGTGTGTGTGTGTGTGTGNTGTGTGTGTGTGTGTGTGTGTGTGTGTGTGTGTGTGTGTGTGTGTGTGTGTGTGTGTGTGTGTGTCTATGTGTGTGTGTGTGTGTGTGTGTGTGTGTGAATGCCAGAGCAGAGGATTGGGAGACCAATCCTCAGACGATATGAATACCCAAGATAGTATGGGTGAGGTAGCACCTACGAGACAGGGGTCATGGTAAAAACCCTCCACGACCTTCTCTATCACGTCCCTTGCTGTTCAAGCCTGCAAGAGAGGTGGTCTAAAATTCTCTAAATGAATTCTACATAAGAGAAACTTGAAAGTTGTTGGCTAAAGAAAAGGAGGTTTCGCAGCAGTTGACTTCAAAACAAAAGACCCAGTCTGTCTGCTGGCTCTGGAGTAAGTTCTGACGACAAGTACCGGAGAAATCGACTAATTGATATGCGTTCAGGCCCACAGGAAGGCCAGCCCAGGAACGGGAGAGAGAGAGATGATGCAAACAAGACCATCTGAGCCAGAAACCCAAAAGCATGGGCAATCAATGAAGAAGTGCAGGTGATTCTTGAGAATGTGAAAGAAATTCAGAATGCAACAACCAATGAATGCTAATTAACGTTGGTGGAGCTGTGTTTGTGCTCAAGATCAGGGGATGAGCTGGGGGCCTGAGACGAGAGAGAGAGGACTTGAAGCTCCCCCCTCCGAGAGTGTAAAAGAGGGTAGGTTGTTCATTATTGCCGATCCGATCTCAGCCTTGTTACGGCGCGTGCCAAGCCCTTCTCCTGTTGGGACTGCCAGACATTAATGTTTTCCGGAAGCTGGCCGCAGCTACCGCATATGGGGAGACTGCCACCGACGACTTGAATATTTCCTGGAGGCTGGCAGCAGCTACCACGTATGTATAGGTGTCTGTACAATAGAAATGTGAACAGCACTAATCTTATTCTACTTTCATCTGGAGCTGCTGTAACTTGGGCTCATCATGCGTGCCACCACTGGCGGAATCGTACCTGTAGCAGCCATCCAGATTACTCGCATAACAAGCTGGCGCAAAGCAGGCAAGAGGGTTCTTCACCCTCCCCTCTTCCACCCCCAACCCCCCCAAGAAGGTTGCAGTCTAGAAGACCGCATTCCAGACTGCCTGTTCACCCTCTCCACACCTCTTATGGACGTCCGCAATCCGCTCAACAGGTTTACAGATCCCACTACACGGCCAGTCAAATGAAGCCGCACAAACGTTTCCCGATTGTGCCTTCCACTCGCAATCTGCAAGAGACAATACCAGATGGCACACGTCAACACAAAATGATCAGCGATGGCTGAGGTCCAAATGTGACTCCCCTTTCGAAATCAACAGCGCACACAGATAGGCAAAGATGGAGAAAAAGAGGGGAAGGAGGAAAGAGAGGAAGGGGGAGAGGTAGGTAGGTAGGTAGGTAGGGAGGGAGGGAGGGAGGGAGGGAGGGAGGAGGTGAGAAAATCAATATGGCATACAAGAACAAGCAAACTACGCAACCTACCACCACCACGAATTTAGATGAACAGCGTTTTGGACTTGTGCCACCACGAATTGAGCTGAACCGTGTTCATAGTGTTTAGTGTTCCATGTATGGGCTTGAAAACTGCAATCTGCAGATTATTCTCCGGGCAGAGCCAGGTAGCAGAAGACAGAAGAAAGCTATAATGTGAAACTTGGCACTCTTCCTTGGGTCATAACAAAAGACATGTGCAGCTGAGAGCCTGATGCCTTTCCCCTTCCATAGAAAACAGATTGATGCAAACAGGTTGCTTGTGTGCGCATTCCTTGTCATCACGATTCATCATGAAGAACAAGGGTACGACTCGTACGAGTCCAAAAAGTCTCATGCCCAGAATAGCAAGTACGCAAGCCTGCAATTTCACATTTACTCGCTAATGTGTGCAACCCTTTGCGTGGGACTTCCCACCCAAAATACCACATGCACAAAGCTGCCTCTGACACTACCAGCCCACACTGTACCTGTTCAGACTGCCTCTGACATCTCTTACATACGTCATTGGTGCGACGAGAGTCAGGGCTCGCAGAGCTGCCATTTGTTTGAGTGCTAATCTGAAGTGAGGGACACGCCATGACTAGTTCTCGACAGATTGGGAGAGGAAAAGGCAAAAGGTCAGCGCAAGCAAAGGGAACACAGTGGGCTGTGGCAAGGAAAGAGAGGCGCTTTATACCTGGCGGTGTTCCACAGCATAGACTCCTCTCGTCGACATGTGTAACGTCCAACCCAAGCAGCCACGAACCCAGTGAGACATCCTCGTTGGCGTACTTGTGCAGTATTGGTCTGCAGAGAATGCATGTGATCCCCCAAAAGTAGAATTTAGAATTGACATGCGGATCAACAAGGCACAAAATATGACACAAGTCACACAACCCAGTTAAGTAGCGGAAGAGACTTTTGGCAAGCACAGAAACAACTCACTGAAGCCGTCCACGAACCCAGCGAGACATCCTCGTTGGCGTACTTGTGCAGTACTGGTCTGCAGAGAATGGATGTGACGCCCCAAAGAGTAGAATTTAGAATTGACATGAGAATCAACAGGGCACAAAATATGATGCAACCCGGTTAAGTAGCAGAAGAGACTTTTTGCCATTGACAAAAACAACTCACTGAAGCCACCAGCATGCCCGCCAGCATGCCGGTACTTCCGAAGGAGAACCGTTGTCCATTGCTTGCGTGCGTGTCCTTCCGAAAGACGATGTCCATTCTGTTGCACACCGACGAGTGTACCATATTTATAAATATGTCTTGCATGGTTTGGCATGATTTTGACGATTGCCCTTGTTATTTGAGAATTTCATTGTTTGTGCTTCTTTTTTTTCTCAAGAAGGCTGGCCTGGGACTTTTCTACAAAAGTGCCTGGGACTTTTCTACAAAAGTGGAAGTATACGAGAACCTTCCGGAAACTTCGGCGGAAAGTACAAAGGAAAGGCCAGTGAAAGTAAAAGGAAGATTCAGGCTTGGAAATCGCATAGCACCCGCTGTGGAAATCACATGACCGCTGTTCCAGAAATTGCAGGGCACTGATTCTGGAAAACTGCACAGCCTCTCTTTCTTGGAAACCGCACTTGCCTCAAACAAAGGACTAGCTACCGTCCCAAAGAAAATCGGAGTTGGCCCTGGCTCAGCAACTGGGCTTGGCTGCTGGTACCAAAAAGGCTGATGTAGTGGCTGGCCCAAAGTATAGAAGCCAGCCAGCAGCCCATTGAGAAAGAACTTTTGGTGGAGGCCACCAGGCTAACATGGTGTGTGGTGCTACAGTGAGCGCCACTACAGCGTGCAGTGCTACAGTGCCCAGTGCCACAGTGAGCGGGCTTTTTCAGTACACCATGCTACAGTGGGCACTGCTACAGTGCTGCAGTGCATGCTGCTACACTGCAGGGTGCGACGCTGAGTGCTGCTACAGTGCGCCCACGTTGGCGTACTGTTCCAGAGCAGGGAGAACACAGACTGCTAGCGGGTAGTCGCACATGGCAGTCGCCACCTACGTGGGAGGATATAGTAGATGGACATCAGTGGGAGACATGTGAGAAGAACTTGGGCAGTGTTCTTTGGCGATTACTGCTTGTTGATTCTTGCAGGAGATGAAACTTTGTACTCAACGTCACTGGGATAGTGATTTGTGGACGGTATTCAGGTGGTCGGAGGGATGTTGGGCTGTTCTTTGTTTCTCTTTTTTTTTTTTTTTTTTTTTWTTTWTWTWTTTGGACCATTTCTCGATTTATGCGTGTCATCCTTGCGCAGGGGCCATGCTAATCTTCTCTGTATCGTTCCAATTTTAACGGATGTCCCTAAGGACTGTTCTTTGTTTCTTTCTTTGTTTCTTTCTTTGTTTCTTTCTTTGTTTCTTTCTTTGTTTCTTTCTTTGTTTCCTTCTGCGATCTATGGTGGGGAGCAACATCAACATGTGCTGGGAACCGTGCCCAGCGTCCCATTTGAGGATTTTACAGAACAGTTTAAGGTACCAGTACTACCAGGGCCATTACCCGGCTGCGGCTGAGAAAACCACTAATGTGTGCAAGAACTCTTAACACCTCCCCTGGGAATCACTGGAGACTAAACTGGAGGCAAACCCTCATACTGTCTCGTAGGCCTTCCAACCCCTGCCTCACCCTTCTCATCCTCAGACCAGGACTCTACCAGGCCTCGCGCCCCACCGCTAAGTTACAGGGCAGCACAACCTACCCCAGCTCTGGCCAGTGTTGGCCCGCTGGTGGTTCATGGATGACCACTGGAATTGCCCTCTGCCCTCGACAATTCCCCAAATCTCTCTACCAGTTCTCATGCCCGCAACTCGGGTTACAGGGCAGTGTAATCAAATTCAAAACCCCAGCACTAGCCTGCATCGGTCTGGCATCGGTCCACCATGAACGAAGACGTGATGGCTCAGAGCTGGGTAAAAGCCAAACCCAACTGACGTCATGCCTGCAACTCGATTATGATGTCTTCGGGAGTCACTGGAAATTGGAATAAGCAAGTACCCGCCCAAACCCACCTGACGTCTGAACCCTTCTACCAACGCAGCCATATTCAGGTGAAAAGCCAGGTCTGTTTACTAGGCTTCACACGCCCAACAGGCTGGGTTACAGAGTTGCACCACCTCGCTTCAGCTCCAGCCAGCGTCGCTCTGGCTTCGAACCCCCGTTGGGATATTTTGTTCTATCTCAATCTTGATTTGCATCTACCAGTGTTGGAATTGAGTGGTCTCAAACAGGTACATGTATCGGTGGTACTTGGCTGGGCAAGACAAGGTACACAGTTGCATAACAGTGTAGTGCCCATCCTTCCCAAAGGAGGTACGTGTATGAGAATGTCCCTTTTGTGTGTGTTATGTGAAATCACTGAAGATTGCTGCAATGAATCCACTCCAAATCAACATGCATCACACCAAAGGTTCACAGACAGCTCACAGAACACACAACAGATGGCAATTAGCCCAACCGAATAGACTTCTTCCCAGAGCATCAGAATGATTCAAGTTCCAACTACATAATACACAAGCTGTTATGGGCCTTACGTCGTGCAAGTTCCAACTACATAATACACAAGCTGTTATGGGTCTTACGTCGGCTATCGCTGTCACATCAATCATGTAACTCTCGCTCAGATCTCCCACTCTCTCCCTCTTGCTCTCTCACTCTTCTCTTGTATCTCTGCCTCTTGCTTTCTCCCTCTTCTCTCGTATCTCTCGCTCTCGCTCTCCCACTCTCGGTCCTTGGACCCCTCACACTCGCTACTGCCTTACTTCATCTCTCTCCTACCCTACTTTGACTTTGCAGCTATGGCTGCCGTCTTCTTCCTTGTCAACTCTAACTATTGCGCTCACTCGCCCTTCGCCTCCTTCATCAACCAACTGTCCAGTTGCTCAGTCGCACAAGCATTACAGCATGGCTTCTGCAACATGCAAATTGACAAATGACCCAATGAAGCACAGTAGCATCTATAAATAGCAGCTGAAGTGAATCGTTGTCGGCTCCGGACCGGTACCGGTCGATGCAGCCTGTCACCTGCAGTTTGCCAGTTCCGGAACTTACGGGACTTTCCCAGGATGCTGGAGCAAAAATGGACTTCAGGACTATAGACTTTTGTTGTTGGTAATGGGGCTACAACCCCTAACCAACCAAACTACCGGACCCTACAAACCTACGATGCTTCGGCCTCTACACCCTACCGGACTCCTAGGACCGTGGACCTGGGACCTACCGGGGCCAGCTGGAACTAGGCCAAAGTGGGACTCTTGGACCAGGACTCAGGACAGGGACAATGCGTGAAATCCTTTCGCTCCTGCCAGCCTAATTTCGAGGTCCTCCGAGAAAACTCGTCCCTTCACCAGTCTACAAAATTCTCTCCCCTTCTACCTCATTCATAGTATGATACGATGTTAGGGGCCGTTTCCCTTAGTTTGTCCCTGGTGTACCAGCGTTCATCTTCTTGTTCCTGATATGGAAGCCGGACCTTGTACTGTCTTTGCGGTCTTCCCCTTCTACTGGATCTGTAGACGTCTTTGTCTACAACGCGGTCAACGTCGTGTCTGCCATCCATACCCGGTGCAGTCATTGATCTCTGTGAGCAAAACCTATCATTTACAATGCATGGTGACGGCTTCGAGGTAGGTGTGCAGATGGGCTAGGATATCAATTGTATAGGACGGACCATCTCATTCCCCCTTGACATCTAGGACTTCCCACGGCCCTGGAGGTTCTGAGAAAATCCTTCATCCGGTAAGAACTCTTTTGACTTGACCCAGACAAAATCTCCTGCTGCGAATTGCGACGGTCTGCAATGCTTATTAGCTGGCTCTACCATTTGGTGCCGAGCCTTTCTTATGTTCTCCGCAACCTTGTGCGGGTCTTTCTCATATTGCAGCACAAACTTCCTAGCACCACACAGAGAGAGAGAGAGAGAGAGAGAGAGAGAGAGAGAGAGAGAGAGAGAGAGAGAGAGAGA